GAGGTAGGGAAGAATGAGGCGAGGGGGATAAGAAAATTGCTGCATGCAATGAAGCAAGGCAAGGCAACGCCGCTGCTAGCTTGGGGGTCACTGTGTTGGTGCGCACTGATGCAATGCTGGTGTGGTGTGTGGTGTATGTATGCAGAGGGAAAGACAGGGGACGAGGGATATGAGAAAACGGCCGGTTGGGAATGATGTGATGCCAGGCAACGCCGCTGCCAGCTTGGGGTTGACTGCATTGGTGGGCACTGATGCGATGCTGGTGTGGCGTGTGTGGACGACATGGGAGAATGAGACAAGGAAAATAGGAACGTGCACGCAAGGCAAGACAAGGCAAGGCAAGGCAAGGCTGCTGCCACCTTGGGTTCACTGTGTTAGTGCGCACCGATTACACCACACAGCACAGCAGCAGTGGGACGGGAAGGAAGTCAAGACGGACCTACGTTGAATGTTCTTCATGTGTGGCTGCAGCAGAGGACGTACGTGTGTGCATCAAACCGCGGGTATTCGAATGACAGGAACGAAATCAGGGCAGACAGCACAGCAGTGGGGAGGGAAGGGAGTCAAGCTGGACTGGATCTAAGGCGAATGTGCTTCATGTGCGGCTGCAGCAGGTATGAGACAGGCTGTTTAACTATGAGTTGTGACATGAAGTAAGTGAGTGGTGTATGAGTGGAATCATGGCGTACCTGGTTGCATTGCACAGCACAGCAGGTACGCAAGTGAGAGAGGGGCAGCGCAGGGAGAGACCCACCTGAGGCGGATGTCCTTCATATGCGGCTGCAGCAGGTACGAGAGCAGGCTGTCAAACTGTGGGTGCTGCGTCACTGATGCGCCCAGCAGGCCTATGCGGTTGGTCACCTGTGAGTGTGCATGTGTGTGGTGGTGTGGGTTGGGGGGGGTTGAACGGACACTGCTTGAGCCCACTCACTGATGCGCCCAGCAGGCCTATGCGGTTGGTCACCTGCGAGTGTGTGGGTGTGTGGTGTTTGGGGGGAGGGTTGTGTTGGAGCTGGGTGGGAAACTCGAACTGACTGACCCTTCTTGAGACGATTCAAAAGTCACTCATGCGATTCGCGACTTGCGAGAGTGTGGGTGTGGTGCTGGTTCGGCGGAGAGTCGGTCGGACGAACCCCTTTGAATAGCCAAGAGAAATACAAGTCTCATCTCAGGCACATGAGACTTTTGAGGCGCCTCAGAAATACAAGTCTCAGGTAGTGGTACCATGCACTGCTCTCCAGACGACATGAAATAGATGAGAGTAGTGCATGGTAAGATGAGATGAGCTGTACTTTGAACCAGAAGGCCTCCCTCTACAGCAGGTATAACGTGTGCTTATCTGTAGACCTCTTCTATAACGAGTATGATGTGGTATTCAAGAGCTCTAGGGCAGAAGGGAACGCCAGGCCAGGCATGTCCAGCAAGCCATCTCTTTGCTTCTTCGTACTTCTGCTGTCATATAGATATAGCTCTTCCTGTTAATGTTAGCCCTCAATCTCACCTTTTGTACTTGTACCTTTTATATCATAGTTTAGTGTAGTTTGCACTTGGTGTTTGATTGAGTGTACGCCCACATCCCAACCAAACCCAAATGTGATCTCCAAGCAATCTCCAACCCACCAATTGGAGATTGCCTTGGGATTACCCCCAATCCCTAGGGATTGCCCCCGATTCCCTCCCCATCCATACCTAGCTCATTCTGGATGTAGTTAAAGAGCTTCAAGCTCTTTAGTAATGTATCGATTCTAAGCTCCAGTTCTGACACTTCCTCCCATTTCCGCACACTTGTAAGTCTCTTTCTATAGCGGGTATGATGAGGAGTGCTTATCCTGGATGCCTGTGTCTAGCGGGTATGAGATGTAGTGTGATTACCTGCAGGCCTCTCTCTATAGCGGGGATGAGGTGGTCTTCAAGAGCAGCAGGGCGGAAGGGCAGAGAAGAATAGCTGGCGAGGCAGAAGCGACAGACCTCCGGGCAACTGCGCACCACCTGATGAGGAGAGAGGGCGAGACAAAGAGGAAGTGATGGGATGGAGGGAAGAGAGGTGATCCGTGATGGGGGGAGGAAGGAACGACGGCAGGTCGGAGGGAGTAGCTGGCGAGGCAGAAGGGACAGACCTCAGGGCAGCTGCGCACCACCTGATGGGCAAAGGAATTGCATTGGGTGTTGCCTGCTGCTGCACCTCCACTCCACCGTATGGATACCCTCCACAGGCCGCGCCCCATTCGATTCCACCATACAATGCAAATGCGCACCTCTAAGCATGCAAAGCACAACAGACAGCAATCTCACCTCCACCATATATATGCCCTCCTATGCCATGCGAGGACACCACAGTGGACGTCGCCAGCTGCTTGCCCTCCCCAGTACGTCTGAGTGGACTCACAAATCCCCTCACCTTCTAGCTCACAGAACAACACAACATATTCAAACATTACTCTCACCTCCACCATATAAATACCCCCCCACGCCATGCGAGGCGACACCACAGTGGACGTGGCCAGCTGCTTGCCCCGGTACGTCTGCCTCTCCACCACTGCAGGAGCTACTGGGAGCGTCCCTGCACTGCTGCTGCTGCTGCTGCTGCTGCTGCTGCTGCTGCTGCTGACGTTTGTGCTGCCAGCTGGCAGTTGCAGGGGTGACACGTCAGCAATGGGCCCGGTGGGGCTGTGGTATTCCACCCGGTACAGCAGGGGCACGTACACCCCTGGCACCTGATTGGTTGGTCGTGGGGCGGGCGGGTGAGAGAGAGGGTAGGGTGGGGCGGTGGGTGGAGAGCAGTGGAGAGCGGTGAAGAGCAGTGGAGAGCAGTGGCTCATGCAGGGGGTGCAGGGGTTGAGGGTTTCTGGGTTTGAAGGTTTGGGAGATACACAAGAGCAGGATTAGAGGGGGGACTAGGCAAGGATGACGAAGAGGTGGGGGGGGGGATTCCGACTTTTCAGGTGCCTCAGAAGAGGTGGTGGGGGGCAATTCGGAATCTGCTGTAAATGCTGCGGTTCCTGATAAGCTGTCATTCCGAATCTCCTGATGGAGCTCTCGCCATTACCACTGCCACACGCCCACTAACCTGAGCCAGAGCCGAGAGAATCTCCAGCCGCGTGCCGCTTCTGCTACTATCACTCGCTCCCTCCACCCCTCCTCCCGACACACACGCCTCGAACGCGTCCACGAAGCTTCCCAGAAGCTCCTCGCCATCACCCATCAAAATCACATCAAAGAAATCCGCAAACGGCTCCGGATTGGCCGAGAGAACAGCGCCCCCTCCGAAGACGAAACACGAGGACCCACTCTCCAACCGCTCCTCAGATCTCACCGGAACCCCCAGATCTTCTAGAGTGTTCAGCACGTTCACGTAATCCAGTTCCCAGGAGAAGGAGAATCCGATGAGATTAGGGTTTCTAGGAAAGGGATCGTGCGCGTCAGTGAACATGCGCGTGACGTGGATGGAAGCGCGGGAGCAGAGGTAAGCCCACACCAGTTGGTACCCGAGCGAGCAAATCCCAACGGTGTATTCGTTCGGGAAGGCGTAGATGCACCTGATTGGCTCGCGCGAGGCCTCGTTACTGTCACTTCTGGTACTGAAGCCATTTGTACTGGTACTATCGGAGATATTATTGCTGTGGGTGCTGCTGCTGCTGGTTGTGCATGTAGGGTCACCGGAGCGAGGATCGAACAGGAGAGTCTCGTCTTGGGAGAATCGGATAAGGTTCGCGATTTTTTGCTGATGTGTCAGCGCCTGATTCGCCGGCTGCTTCTTCTCCTGCTGCCGCTGCTGCTGCTTTCCCTTCTCCCCTTGCTGCTGCTGCGACTTGCCACCTTTCCTCGCGTTCTCTCGGTTCCTCGTGGCTCTAGCTCTAACTTTCACCATAAGAACCCTCCGCGTCGGCTCGTCGGGTTTTCGTACATTCTCGACCTCATTCCCCCAATACACATTCTTCCATCTGCTCCCGAATGTCGCGACACTCCCAAGGCAGCCGAATCCTGCAGACCGAAGCGTGAGAGCACCAGAAGTTGAAGCCGCCATGTGAAAGCGCTGAGAACACTGCAGCTCCGCAGTATCGAGCATGTGCGAGAAGCTCTCAGGAGGAATCGAATGGTATGGGATCAGGTAGATGAGTGTTGGGATGCCGTAACTCAATACAGAGTTTCGTGCTAACCAATATTTGACAGGCTACAATCTGCTCTTGCGCTGTCGCCGCTATAAGCACAGTTTGAACCTCATTGGAGATTTCATCCATAGAAGTGAGAGCATCTCCCTCAGACACACACAAAAAATACGGCATAAACATTGCATAAGAGTTGCTAGACACACTGCGTAAGAATGGCTAGGGATGAGATGAGCAGTTAATATTAATGCTTTTTCCCCTTATTAAGATTCAACTATTACAGGGCAGTGGATTGCATGATGAGTTATCAACTGTGTCAGCGACTTTGGGTTGGACAGAAAGGTATTGTAGTAGATGGAAGGCAGATTTATCTGGGTATAGATGAAGTTAGTTTTACTGTTGGAAGATGCTGTGGTATTTCGATTGATCGTTCCCAACAATGAACGTCAGGAGGCCTTCGAGACTTGCATGTGAAACAAGCGGGTTCTCAAATCCTCTGCAGCATCCCCGAGAGGAGTTTCAGCTCGCAGGCCTGGATCAAGTCGCGTCATGTCCACCAATGGACGGTCCATTAGCCCTTAGTTCTCGCTGAAACGTATCACAATGCAGGTCATGGCGAGTCGCTCGTGTGTACGGACCTACCTTCTTGCTCTCTGCTGCTTCGCGATATTTCCTTGTTTCCACGCCAGCAGCTTTTCAGGCGACTTTACGAATTCGGACTTCAGCGACGAAACATTTTCACCAGGCTATGGAATTCAAGCGGAGCCACTCGAAAGTAGCGATCCTTACAATAGTGATCAATTCAGGAATCAAGGGAGGAAGCGGGTGGAATCAGGCAGCTCGGAGCAAGCGATTCAGTCGTTAAAGAAAGAGTGGGACGAGGAGGCGAAGCCGATGCAGCTGTTACGACCGTCGCCGAATCATGATCGGTTGGAAGTGGTTCAGTCCACTTTGGACGTGTTGGAGCGAATACAGCAGCCCGTGGCTTTCGTGGCGGTCGTCGGCCCTTACCACGGGTACGCAATCATCCGTGCGTGGTCCTTTTTGGATATTTCTGTACGCGATAGTGAGTGTCGTTCGGTGAAACTGGAGTTGTTCGTTCCCAACAGGTGTTTCCTCCCCCCTGGTTGACGTTGCTTTCTAACTCCGTATCTCCTGAGCCCTCCACGTGTCCTGCCATCTCGGATCCCCTTGCAGGACCCTTTCTCAATTCATCACCCCTCTCCCAAACCCACGCGCGGCTTCCCAGTCGGCACTCGCCTTCGCCACCTTCTTGTTGACTCCCTGACTGGTTCGTTCCCTGACTGACGGCCTCATTCACGGGCATTTCCCCACTCCTACCCCCCGCTTTCCCACGGCAGGGGCAAGTCCTTCCTGCTGAACGTGCTGCTCAACTCCACGCGCGGCTTCCCAGTAAGCACGCGCCCAGACCCCGAGACTCTGGGGCTGTGGGTCCGCGTGCTGCCCCCCCACCGCCCTGTTGACCCCGTCCCTCCCCCACCTTCCCCCACGCACGGCAGGGGCAAGTCCTTCCTGCTGAACGTGTTGCTCAACTCCACGCGCGGCTTCCCAGTGGGCACGCGACCGGACCCCGAGACCCTGGGGCTGTGGGTGCGCGTGCTGCCCCCCCACCGCCTGCAGGCGTGGGACGGAGCGGTGGTGGTGCTGGTGGACTCGGAGGGGCTGTATGGGGACGGCGCTTCACGGGCGTATGACGCCAAGCTGTTTGCTGTGGCTACTCTCTTGTCATCGCACCTCATCTACAACACCCTGCGGACACTCGGTGAGTGGGGAAGGGAGGGGGGATACGGCAACCAGCCCCCTCACCGCCTGCTAGCACGGGACGGAGCGGTGGTGGTGCTGGTGGACTCGGAGGGGCTGTATGGGGACGGCGCCTCACGGGCGTATGATGCCAAGCTGTTTGCTGTGGCTACTCTGCTGTCGTCCCACCTCATCTACAACACCCTGCGAACACTCGGTGAGAGGGGAGGGGGGATAAGGACGGAGCGGTGGTGGTGCTGGTGGACTCGGAGGGGCTGTATGGGGACGGCGCTTCAAGAGCATATGACGCCAAGCTGTTTGCTGTGGCTACTCTGCTGTCGTCTCATCTCATCTACAACACCCTGCGCACTCTCGGTGAGTCGAGAAAGGGGATGAGGACGGAGCGGTGGTGGTGCTGGTGGACTCGGAGGGGCTGTATGGGGAGGGCGCCTCAAGAGCGTATGATGCCAAGCTCTTTGCCGTGGCTACTCTGCTGTCGTCTCATCTCATCTACAACACCCTGCGCACTCTCGGTGAGTCGAGAAAGGGGATGAGGACGGAGCGGTGGTGGTGCTGGTGGACTCGGAGGGGCTGTATGGGGAGGGCGCCTCAAGAGCGTATGATGCCAAGCTCTTTGCCGTGGCTACTCTGCTGTCGTCTCATCTCATCTACAACACCCTGCGCACTCTCGGTGAGTCGAGAAAGGGGATGAGGACGGAGCGGTGGTGGTGCTGGTGGACTCGGAGGGGCTGTATGGGGAGGGCGCCTCAAGAGCGTATGATGCCAAGCTCTTTGCCGTGGCTACTCTGCTGTCGTCTCATCTCATCTACAACACCCTGCGCACTCTCGGTGAGTCGAGAAAGGGGATGAGGACGGAGCGGTGGTGGTGCTGGTGGACTCGGAGGGGCTGTATGGGGAGGGCGCCTCAAGAGCGTATGATGCCAAGCTCTTTGCCGTGGCTACTCTGCTGTCGTCTCATCTCATCTACAACACCCTGCGCACTCTCGGTGAGTCGAGAAAGGGGATGAGGACGGAGCGGTGGTGGTGCTGGTGGACTCGGAGGGGCTGTATGGGGAGGGCGCCTCAAGAGCGTATGATGCCAAGCTCTTTGCCGTGGCTACTCTGCTGTCGTCTCATCTCATCTACAACACCCTGCGCACTCTCGGTGAGTCGAGAAAGGGGATGAGGACGGAGCGGTGGTGGTGCTGGTGGACTCGGAGGGGCTGTATGGGGAGGGCGCCTCAAGAGCGTATGATGCCAAGCTCTTTGCCGTGGCTACTCTGCTGTCGTCTCATCTCATCTACAACACCCTGCGCACTCTCGGTGAGTCGAGAAAGGGGATGAGGACGGAGCGGTGGTGGTGCTGGTGGACTCGGAGGGGCTGTATGGGGAGGGCGCCTCAAGAGCGTATGATGCCAAGCTCTTTGCCGTGGCTACTCTGCTGTCGTCTCATCTCATCTACAACACCCTGCGCACTCTCGGTGAGTCGAGAAAGGGGATGAGGACGGAGCGGTGGTGGTGCTGGTGGACTCGGAGGGGCTGTATGGGGAGGGCGCCTCAAGAGCGTATGATGCCAAGCTCTTTGCCGTGGCTACTCTGCTGTCGTCTCATCTCATCTACAACACCCTGCGCACTCTCGGTGAGTCGAGAAAGGGGATGAGGACGGAGCGGTGGTGGTGCTGGTGGACTCGGAGGGGCTGTATGGGGAGGGCGCCTCAAGAGCGTATGATGCCAAGCTCTTTGCCGTGGCTACTCTGCTGTCGTCTCATCTCATCTACAACACCCTGCGCACTCTCGGTGAGTCGAGAAAGGGGATGAGGACGGAGCGGTGGTGGTGCTGGTGGACTCGGAGGGGCTGTATGGGGAGGGCGCCTCAAGAGCGTATGATGCCAAGCTCTTTGCCGTGGCTACTCTGCTGTCGTCTCATCTCATCTACAACACCCTGCGCACTCTCGGTGAGTCGAGAAAGGGGATGAGGACGGAGCGGTGGTGGTGCTGGTGGACTCGGAGGGGCTGTATGGGGAGGGCGCCTCAAGAGCGTATGATGCCAAGCTCTTTGCCGTGGCTACTCTGCTGTCGTCTCATCTCATCTACAACACCCTGCGCACTCTCGGTGAGTCGAGAAAGGGGATGAGGACGGAGCGGTGGTGGTGCTGGTGGACTCGGAGGGGCTGTATGGGGAGGGCGCCTCAAGAGCGTATGATGCCAAGCTCTTTGCCGTGGCTACTCTGCTGTCGTCTCATCTCATCTACAACACCCTGCGCACTCTCGGTGAGTCGAGAAAGGGGATGAGGACGGAGCGGTGGTGGTGCTGGTGGACTCGGAGGGGCTGTATGGGGAGGGCGCCTCAAGAGCGTATGATGCCAAGCTCTTTGCCGTGGCTACTCTGCTGTCGTCTCATCTCATCTACAACACCCTGCGCACTCTCGGTGAGTCGAGAAAGGGGATGAGGACGGAGCGGTGGTGGTGCTGGTGGACTCGGAGGGGCTGTATGGGGAGGGCGCCTCAAGAGCGTATGATGCCAAGCTCTTTGCCGTGGCTACTCTGCTGTCGTCTCATCTCATCTACAACACCCTGCGCACTCTCGGTGAGTCGAGAAAGGGGATGAGGACGGAGCGGTGGTGGTGCTGGTGGACTCGGAGGGGCTGTATGGGGAGGGCGCCTCAAGAGCGTATGATGCCAAGCTCTTTGCCGTGGCTACTCTGCTGTCGTCTCATCTCATCTACAACACCCTGCGCACTCTCGGTGAGTCGAGAAAGGGGATGAGGACGGAGCGGTGGTGGTGCTGGTGGACTCGGAGGGGCTGTATGGGGAGGGCGCCTCAAGAGCGTATGATGCCAAGCTCTTTGCCGTGGCTACTCTGCTGTCGTCTCATCTCATCTACAACACCCTGCGCACTCTCGGTGAGTCGAGAAAGGGGATGAGGACGGAGCGGTGGTGGTGCTGGTGGACTCGGAGGGGCTGTATGGGGAGGGCGCCTCAAGAGCGTATGATGCCAAGCTCTTTGCCGTGGCTACTCTGCTGTCGTCTCATCTCATCTACAACACCCTGCGCACTCTCGGTGAGTCGAGAAAGGGGATGAGGACGGAGCGGTGGTGGTGCTGGTGGACTCGGAGGGGCTGTATGGGGAGGGCGCCTCAAGAGCGTATGATGCCAAGCTCTTTGCCGTGGCTACTCTGCTGTCGTCTCATCTCATCTACAACACCCTGCGCACTCTCGGTGAGTCGAGAAAGGGGATGAGGACGGAGCGGTGGTGGTGCTGGTGGACTCGGAGGGGCTGTATGGGGAGGGCGCCTCAAGAGCGTATGATGCCAAGCTCTTTGCCGTGGCTACTCTGCTGTCGTCTCATCTCATCTACAACACCCTGCGCACTCTCGGTGAGTCGAGAAAGGGGATGAGGACGGAGCGGTGGTGGTGCTGGTGGACTCGGAGGGGCTGTATGGGGAGGGCGCCTCAAGAGCGTATGATGCCAAGCTCTTTGCCGTGGCTACTCTGCTGTCGTCTCATCTCATCTACAACACCCTGCGCACTCTCGGTGAGTCGAGAAAGGGGATGAGGACGGAGCGGTGGTGGTGCTGGTGGACTCGGAGGGGCTGTATGGGGAGGGCGCCTCAAGAGCGTATGATGCCAAGCTCTTTGCCGTGGCTACTCTGCTGTCGTCTCATCTCATCTACAACACCCTGCGCACTCTCGGTGAGTCGAGAAAGGGGATGAGGACGGAGCGGTGGTGGTGCTGGTGGACTCGGAGGGGCTGTATGGGGAGGGCGCCTCAAGAGCGTATGATGCCAAGCTCTTTGCCGTGGCTACTCTGCTGTCGTCTCATCTCATCTACAACACCCTGCGCACTCTCGGTGAGTCGAGAAAGGGGATGAGGACGGAGCGGTGGTGGTGCTGGTGGACTCGGAGGGGCTGTATGGGGAGGGCGCCTCAAGAGCGTATGATGCCAAGCTCTTTGCCGTGGCTACTCTGCTGTCGTCTCATCTCATCTACAACACCCTGCGCACTCTCGGTGAGTCGAGAAAGGGGATGAGGACGGAGCGGTGGTGGTGCTGGTGGACTCGGAGGGGCTGTATGGGGAGGGCGCCTCAAGAGCGTATGATGCCAAGCTCTTTGCCGTGGCTACTCTGCTGTCGTCTCATCTCATCTACAACACCCTGCGCACTCTCGGTGAGTCGAGAAAGGGGATGAGGACGGAGCGGTGGTGGTGCTGGTGGACTCGGAGGGGCTGTATGGGGAGGGCGCCTCAAGAGCGTATGATGCCAAGCTCTTTGCCGTGGCTACTCTGCTGTCGTCTCATCTCATCTACAACACCCTGCGCACTCTCGGTGAGTCGAGAAAGGGGATGAGGACGGAGCGGTGGTGGTGCTGGTGGACTCGGAGGGGCTGTATGGGGAGGGCGCCTCAAGAGCGTATGATGCCAAGCTCTTTGCCGTGGCTACTCTGCTGTCGTCTCATCTCATCTACAACACCCTGCGCACTCTCGGTGAGTCGAGAAAGGGGATGAGGACGGAGCGGTGGTGGTGCTGGTGGACTCGGAGGGGCTGTATGGGGAGGGCGCCTCAAGAGCGTATGATGCCAAGCTCTTTGCCGTGGCTACTCTGCTGTCGTCTCATCTCATCTACAACACCCTGCGCACTCTCGGTGAGTCGAGAAAGGGGATGAGGACGGAGCGGTGGTGGTGCTGGTGGACTCGGAGGGGCTGTATGGGGAGGGCGCCTCAAGAGCGTATGATGCCAAGCTCTTTGCCGTGGCTACTCTGCTGTCGTCTCATCTCATCTACAACACCCTGCGCACTCTCGGTGAGTCGAGAAAGGGGATGAGGACGGAGCGGTGGTGGTGCTGGTGGACTCGGAGGGGCTGTATGGGGAGGGCGCCTCAAGAGCGTATGATGCCAAGCTCTTTGCCGTGGCTACTCTGCTGTCGTCTCATCTCATCTACAACACCCTGCGCACTCTCGGTGAGTCGAGAAAGGGGATGAGGACGGAGCGGTGGTGGTGCTGGTGGACTCGGAGGGGCTGTATGGGGAGGGCGCCTCAAGAGCGTATGATGCCAAGCTCTTTGCCGTGGCTACTCTGCTGTCGTCTCATCTCATCTACAACACCCTGCGCACTCTCGGTGAGAGGTGAAGGGGGATAGGGCAAGGCAACTAGCACCTGGAGGGGAGGGGCTGCATGGTATGGGGGGTCCACGTGGACCATGGTGGCAGCGCTGGCTGCAAGCACGCTGCAGTCCGGTGGTGATGCACCTTTCTTCACCTCTCTGCACCTCTGTACCTCCCTGTGCCTCTCTCTACCTCCCTGTGCCTCTCTCTACCTCCCTGTGCCTCTCTCCAGGTGACGCGCAGTCAGTGGCTGCGCTGGCGGACCTAGAAAAGCAGGCTCACGTGTTCAACCTGCAGAACTGGCTGCACTCGGAGTCGGAGAGGGAGCAGTGACAGCATACTTCTCTGTACCTCTCTGTACCACTCTGTACCTCTCCCTGCCTCCCCTTTCCAGGTGACGCCCAGTCAGTGGCAGCATTGGCGGACCTAGCAAAGCAGGCACACGTGTTCAATTTGCAGAACTGGCTGCACTCGGGAGGGTGGGAACCCGCTCATACCCATTCCGCTGCCACTGGTGATGCTGCTACTGCTGATGCGGCTGGTGCTGCGACTGGCTCTGATCCTGCTGCGGCTGCTGATGGTGATAATGCTGCTGCTCCTGCAGCAGCATCGTCCCACCTGCCTGACCCACGGCTTCTGCTGCAGACTCTCACCTTCCCGCCCCTCACTTGGGTAGTGCAAGGCTTCGACCTCGACTTACAGCAGCAGGAAGACTCCCCTTCACCCCACTCCACCCCATCTCACCCCTCCTCCTCTCGCCCCACCTCCACCCACCCCACCGCACCGCACTCCGCCTCTTCCCACGCCTCCACCTCCGTCTCCCCCATGGTGTACCTGCAGCGCTACCTAGCAGCGCACGCGCGCACGGGAGACCAGTCCCTAGAAACCCTCTTCACACAGGGTATAGCGTGCCTCACTGTGCGCACGCCTACGGATATTAACAGGCTAAGGGAAGAGGTGGGCGGGGCGGGGCTGGGCGCTGCTGACGTGGAGCTCATGCCAGCGCTGCACCCGGGGTACCTTGCTGACGTGGTGGCGGTGCGGGAGCGCGTGATTGGAGGGCTGGAGGCGAAGGGACCGGCTGGGCAGAAATTCACAGGGGAGACTGTCGGTGAGTGGATGTTGGGAGGATCCCTTTACCCGTCTCCCATCGCCTTTCCCTTCCCCTTTCTGTTCTGCTTTCATTTTCCCTTCAGTGTGCTTGCTGCCTCTTACGTTTCGTGCCGTTCCAGGAAACACCTACTTTCTTTTGTCTCTTCCATGCTCCACTCACTCAACTTTCCTCCTCCGCACCAGCATGCCTTCTCCCACTACCCGTTGCCTTTCTGAACAGTGAATCCCCAATAAACTTCCTGCTTCCTTTTCCACTTCCATGATCTACCCAACTCGCTTTCCATGCTCCCCCCGCTCTACTCCTCTTCCCGCCAGCTCGCCTGCTCCCCCTGCTGGTCCATTTCGTGAACAGTGACTTCCCACTAAACGCCGAGCGCCACATACAACAAGTCATGCTGGACCTGCTGCTGGACGGCGCCTTCGCCTCCGCCGTCCACTTCTTTCGTCTGCATGCCGATGCCGCCCTTGACCGATTCATTCGAGCCACCCGCGCTGCTGCTAGTGTTTCTGCTGAGGACATAAGTGGGAGAGGTGAAGAGGGAGATATATTCGCTGCTTCAGGCACTGGCACTGAATGGGACGTGAGCAGCACTGCAGAACCTGCTGCAGCTGTGGCAGGGGAAGGAGCTCACACGTTCTCTGCTGCTGCTGCAGCACTGGCCTCCCAATCTCCAGCGACTCACCTGCTGTCAGCCACGTTCACAGCGGAGCGCATGGAGCAAGTCCTTTCCAAGGCAGGTCTGCTCCCTCGCTCTTTCTGACATTCCCTCTTTCCCATTTCCCTCCTTTCCCTTCTCCCCCCCTGCTACTTTACTTTAGCCTTGTCACCCCGCTGTGTGCTCTGCTACTCTCACCCGTTGTCACTGTGCATGCCTCTCCCTCACTCCCTCACCTGCCTTGCTTTCCTCCTCAATTTCCTCCCTTTGGCTCCTCCCATGCCCGGCTTTCCCTCTTACCCCCTCTCCCCCTCCTTCCCTCCTTCCAGAGCAAGACGCGCGGCACTACTGCATGGCGCGCAGTGTGGGGGTGCCTGCAGATCGCTCCGCTATGACATGTGGAGCCAGGCTGTTTGCCAAGCTGGACCACATCAAGCCGCACTACAGGTGGGTGTTGCCCTACTCTGGGCTGCTCTTTTAAGAGTCCGCGGCAAGAGTGGAAGTGGCCTGCAGATCGCTCCGCTATGACATGTGGAGCCAGGCTGTTTGCCAAGCTGGACCACATCAAGCCGCACTACAGGTGGGTGTTGCCCTACTCTGGGCTGCTCTTTTAAGAGTCCGCGGCAAGAGTGGAAGTGGCCTGCAGATCGCTCCGCTATGACATGTGGAGCCAGGCTGTTTGCCAAGCTGGACCACATCAAGCCGCACTACAGGTGGGTAAAGACTCTTGCGTAGGCCCCCTTGTGAGGGCACCTGCTTGCTAGATTATCGGCCGTGACGTGTGGAGCACCACCACGTGCACGTGGCCTTTTTTTAGACGTCTCAAAAGTTTTTGAATTTTGAGACGTCTCAAAACTGGCCATGACGTGTGGAGCACCACGTGTACGTGGCGCTGGCAGCGCTGGCAGATTCGTAAAGGGAAGCTCACCGTTCTCCTATCTCCTCCATACCCTGCCTCTTTTTCCGAAAATCCTCTTCCCTTTCCTCCCTTCCCCCCCCTTCCCGTGCCCCTTCTCCGCAGGTCCAGCAACGAGCACAACGTGCACGTGGCGCTGGCAGCGCTGGCAGACGAGCCTTCTGACCTCTCTCTCAGACCCTTCCTCCCGCCCGTGTATTCTCCCGCTTATCCCCCCATCCCCTCTTCGCAGGTCCAGCAACGAGCACAACGTGCACGTGGCACTGGCAGCGCTGGCAGACGAGTTGCAGCAGGCGGCACACGCGGCTATTGCTGCCATTCCCCTCCCACAGCAAGAGCAACTCCTGGAGCAGCAGTGCGAGGCTGTCCTTGTGGCAGCCGTTGACAGGTATGGTGCGTACCTGTCGCTTCTATACCCACTCGCAGCAGGCAGCACACGCGGCTGTCGCTGCCATTCCCCTCCCTACCACAGCGGGAGCAGCTGCTGGAGCAGCAGTGCGAGGCAGTCCGTGTGGCAGCTGTTGACAGGTATGTGGCTCACCTGTCACTGCTATACCCACTTGCAGTAGCAGGCAGCACACGTGGCTATCGTGGCCATTCCCGTCCCACATTAGTAGCAGCAGTAGTGCTAGGCCGTTCGCATCTGTTGACAGGTGAGCCACTTACTGCCACTTTTGCCTTGGAGCAAGCAGCACACGCAACTATGACTGCCATTCCCTCTCAGAGGGAGCAGCTGCTGGAGCAGTGCAAGGGTGATCGCATGGCAGCTGTTGCAGGTATGTTGCTTACCTGTCACGTCACCCCTTTCTCCATGCGCCCTCAGGTTCTCCGGCACTTTGGGCGAGCACAGCAGCAGCCCTCTGGCTCCCGTGGTCTTCAACAGTTTTCTCACTCTTCCCATGGACCCTACCCCGCGTTCCTGCCCCTTCTTCACCCTTTTCACCACCCCTCCCCAGGTTCACAGGCATTCTAGGCGACCATAGCAGCAGCCTCCGTATATTCCTCTTTCCACCCAGAACCGCCCTCCCGACCCGCACTTCCCGCTTCTAATTACCCCCTTTCACCGCGCGTCCTCAGGTTCACAGGCACTCTGGGCGATCACAGCAGCAGCCCCTTGGCACCCGTGGTTCGCTCCCGCCTCGATGCTGACGTCAGCAGCCACTGCTCTGCCGCCACGTCAGCAAACGACCGGCTGATCGCCGCCCTGCTGGGCAAGGGGAGGGTGGCATACCACCGCACGTACCAGGACACATTCCGGGCGGCGTTCTTGTCCTATGCTGCCGCCCATGCTCATGCTCACACCCACACATCTGATACCAACGCCGCTGCTGCTGATTCTACTGCTGCTACAAGCACTGCTCCTTCTGCATCTGCTTCTGCATCTGCTTCTGCTTCTGCTTCTGGTGCTGCTGGCGCCTCTCCAGCCAACGACCCGCACCTCTTCTCCCACAACCTCTTCGCCCTCCTCCCCTCCTCCACACCCCCTCCCCCTCCTCTCTGGCTCCTCTCCCTCCACGCCAACGCCTCCCTCCTAGCTCAAGACGCCTTCTCTGCAGCAATAGCCCAGGGGGGCCTGGCGTGGGTGGTGCCGGGGCACGAGAGGTTTGACTTCTTTCTGTTCCAGGCGATGCAGTGGGGCAAGCAGCGCGAGAGGGCGGTGGGGGAGGAGAATGCGCGCAGAGTGCGCGGGTTCTGTGGGGAGATGAGGGGGAGGCTGGTGGGGGAGTATCGGCGGCGCGTGGGGGAGATTCATCCATTGCCTGACAACGAGGAGGTGGTGGTGGCTAAGGTGAGAACGGCTCTTTAAGAGGTAAGACAGAAAAAAAGGGCACCCTCCCTCCCCCTCCTCTCTGGCTCCTCTCCCTCCACTCCAACGCCTCCCTCCTAGCTCAAGACGCCTTCTCTGCAGCCATAGCCCAGGGGGGGCTGGCGTGGGTGGTGCCGGGGCACGAGAGGTTTGGCTTCTTTTTGTTCCAGGCGATGCAGTGGGGCAAGCAGCGCGAGAGGGCGGTGGGGGAGGAGAATGCGCGGCGAGTGCGGAGGTACTGTGGGGAGATGAGGGGGAGGCTGGTGGGGGAGTATCGGCGGCGTGTGGGGGAGATTCAACCGCTGCCAGACAACGAGGAGGTGGTGGTGGCTAAGGTGAGAACGGCTCTTTGGAAGGTAAGAAAAAAAGGGCACCCTCCCCCTCCTCTCTGGCTCCTCTCCCTCCAAGCCAACGCCTCCCTTCTCGCTCAGGACGCCTTCTCAGCAGCCATAGCCCAGGGGGGGCTGGCGTGGGTGGTGCCGGGGCACGAGAGGTTTGACTTCTTTCTGTTCCAGGCGATGCAGTGGGGCAAGCAGCGCGAGAGGGCGGTGGGGGACGAGAACGCGCGGAGAGTGCGCGGGTACTGTGGGGAGATGAGGGGGAGGCTTGTGGGGGAGTATCGGCGGCGCGTGGGGGAGATTCAGCCGCTGCCTGATAACGAGGAGGTGGTTGTGGCCAAGGTGAGACTCACTATTTCAATGCCTGTCCAAGGACAGGTGTTTTAAAAGTGAGGGTGAAATGTGTGGGGAATGTGGGGGTTCTGTGGGGAGATGAGGGGCCGGCTGGTGGGGGAGTATAGGAGGCGCGTGGGGGAGATTCAATCGCGATGACGATGTGGTGGTGGCTAAGTTAAGACTCGCTTTTCTTGAAACATTTGTACGCTCAAGACGTCAGTATTTTGTTCGGGGAGAACGGGAGGCGGCTTTCCGAGGCGTTGTTGCCTTACGTCCGAGGTTGGGTCGGAGGGGCTAATGGTTCTTCGGCTTCCGAGCCTCCGCCTTTGCTGTGGCACTCAAGCACCTAGCCAAGGCCCAGCTTCGGTTCAAATCCGGAGCTGCCTCTACCACCCCCTCTTCCACCCCTCCTCCAACTTCCCCTGCTGCTGCTACTGGCAACACTGCAAGGGACTCCACCCCCCAAGGGGAGGTAGGGAAGGGGGAGGTAGAACTGGTGGAGGTGGAACTGAGCGAAGCAACGAAGCATCGGGTGATATCTGCGTGGCTGCAGAGGGACCTAGCCGTCCACGCCAACACCGTTCTCACCAACTGCTGCCTGCTGCTCGCCTCCCTCGCTGCCCTCCTGCTGCTGCTGCGCTCCCTGCTGCTGCGAGTGAAGCGGGTTCTAGGGAGGAAGGGCAGGAGTGGAGAGCAGAAGAGGGAGGGGGGGAGTGGGGATAAAGGGGGGAGGGTCGGGGGAGGGGAGATGGTGAAGAGTGAGGGGGATGGGAGTGGGAGTGGGAGTGGGAGTGGTGGGGTGTGGGGGTTGGGGATGAGGTGGAGGGGGAGAGGGGGGAGTGAGGGGGATGGAAAGAGCGGAGAGGGGAGCAGTACGGGAGGAGGGGGAGGAATCTGGGGGCGGAAACCTGTGAATGGGGCATGTGAAGGGACGGACGATGGGGCACCTGAGGGGGCGAGTTATGGGACACGGTCGCATGGGAATGGGCAACGGGATGTGCAGGGAGGGCTGATGCAGCAGCACGGACTGGTGCAGCCAAGGCAGATTCAGCAGCGACAGTTGGTGGTGAGTCCACAGGAGCAGTGGCAAGGTTGCTGGCGTGGCTGGCATCAGGCAGGAAAGGGGCTGTGAGGCAGAGTGGGGGAGAGGGGCCTGAGCATGGGGGCATGGCGCATGGAGGCATGGCGCATGGTATGTTACCCAGCAGGTTTGCAGCAAATGTGTCGATGACAAATTGCGGGATGCTGAACGGTGGGGTGACAGGTGTCGTGATGGGGGGTGACGTGACAACCAATGAAGGCGCGGCAAATGGTCCAGTGACCAATGGCAGGGGGGCGGCACAGGTTGGTGGTTGGGCGGTGCAGGACGGCGCAGCTATGATTACTAAACGAAGGAGTAGCTCCAGCAGTGGTGGTACTGCTAGCGATGCTGATGGGGATGGTGATGCTGATGTTGATGGTGGTTGCGATGCTGATGGTGGTGGTGACAGTGACAGGATGGGGCAAGCAGCAAGAACGATGCTGGCAGCATTATCAGCAGCAAGAAGAAGAGGAGGAGGAGGAGGAGCATCAGCATCGTCAGCTCTCAGAACCCTTCAAGACCGGATAAGCAGGCAACAAGAAGGGCTTGCTGTGGAGCATCCAACCGATACAAACACCAGAGAGAACAACACTAGTACCAGTGACGGCACACCTGCCTTTCCAACAACTCCTACAGGCAAAGCAGTGCCTCCCCCTGCTGCTACCAGCTTCCCCAACATTGCCACCAGCAGTCCCGGCAGCAGTGGAGGGAAGGCCAGTGGTGCATACTACCGGGCGGCAGATGGGCAATGGCGGAGGTTCAAGTCCGTTACAAGGTCATGAACTCGTTTATAGGGTTACTAGCTGTAGGAACATTATTGATGTACAGCAGTACAATGTGCTCTTAGCCTTTGTGCGAGCTTTACTGTTTGATCATGTGTAATCTCAATTGGTAATTTCGCAAGTTACAGAGCAAAGCGCTGTGCTAATTATTCTAGTAATTTGTTTCCATAGCGTTGTAACCTAGACGAAAGTTTTTCAGGTTGTAGTAAGTGTAATTCATGCTACAAGCTGTGTACCACATTTGACATAATGTATGAGCTTGCTGCTTGAAACGACTTGCTCTGTACCGGGAAATTCGATTCCTGTGAGTGAGCGAGCCGCATCTGCGACAATAATACACCCAGACTCAGAGCATCGTTCAGCTGAGATAACAAGCTTTCTTTTCTGGAAGAACACAGCAGTTCGAAAATTCGTCCTTGACGGAATTAATACGCGTGGGAAGAGAGAGCAAGAGCCCACTGTCAGCAGTCCAACGGTTGCGATGGTAAACGTGCGAGAGGTGGACTTGGGCAGCCGTACGATCCGGATCCTAGAGCTCGAGGACGCGCGCGATGCGGAGACGGGGAAATCCGTCACGGGTGCGTGGGTGTGGGACGCGTCGCTGGTCTTCGCCGCGTGGCTCGCGCACGGAAAGGCGTGGCCCGAAGGGTCGATTAAAGACCTAAGGGTGCTGGAGCTGGGAGCGGGTTTAGGAGTTGTCGGGCTCGCCGCGGCGGCTGTAGGAGCGCGCGTGCTCCTGACGGACCGCGATATTAGATGTATACGCGGGATCAGGCGGAACATCGCGGAAAACGCGCTCGAGGGGAGGGCGTTTGCGGCGCAGCTGGAATGGGGGGAGGGCTTGCCGAGGCAGGTGCATCCGGGGGAGGTGTTACCTCTGAAGGTGGATCCAAGGGAGGATACGGAACGGCGGACAACTGGCGGTGCGGAATTGGCGGAGGCGGATCGGGAGGTCGGCGGGCGGCGGGGAGGGAACACTGGAGCGTGCGGGGATGGGGGGAGCGAAGGAGAGAGGGAGGAGAGAGAGAAGGATACCGGAGCGGCTGGTATTCTACCATTACCTGCTGATGGCGTTGGTGCTTGTGGTGGTGGTGGTGGTGCTACTACTGCTGCTGCTGTTGACACTGCTGGTATGACAGCAGGAGCAGTAAGAGCATCAGGAGAGCAAGCAGGAGCAGAAGCACCGCTGGCGGAGACTACAGGAGAATTAAGAAAGTTGAGTGTGATTGGAGGGGACGGAAGAATCGCCGAATCTGAGCCGTTGGATGTCGAGGAGTTTGTGAAGGATCTGGATCTGATCGTTGGATCGGATATCACGTACGAGGCAGATCAGATGCGCGCCCTGTGCCGCACGATCAAGCAGCTGGCGGGACCTCGCACTCGGGTAAGCCCCCTGGCGGTGTTTCTGACTTTTGAGATGCCTCAAAAATTGCACCAGGGTAAGCCCCCTGGTGGTGTTTGTGTGGTGTATCTTAGTATCAGTATAGGGGCACATGGTACATCAGACCAGTACAGGACTCAGTAGTGTGTTTTGAGTCCACTCAAATGTCAGTATAATCGGTGCAGTGTGGTACTGGTACTCAGAAGTGTGTTGGCGGCGCATGGCAGGACATGGGATGGGAGTGTAAGCTAAGCACTGAAGCGGTGTATCAGAGGCACGAGTCGTATGAGCGGTACATGAGAGGGTTGAGCACCTTGGGTCAAGCGCTCAGAGTTTGTATCTCAAGGGGTGTCTCAAGCACCTCTGGTCAAGCACTCTCAGCCGTCCTTCCATCTTCCGCTCGTGCTTTGAGATGTCTCAAAACTCATCTCAGATTTTGAGACGTCCCAAAACAGTTCAAGCGCTCTCGGCCCTCTCCCTATCTTCCACTCGTGTCAAATTTTCTTCTCATCTTCTCTTTTCCTGCCGGCTCCCCACCTTCAACTCATAACCGCTCCTCAAGCTTCTCCCTTCCCCTTCCCCTCCGACCTGCGCCATCCCAAACTCTCCACCCCCCTCCCTCCCTCTCCCCCCCGTCAGATATTCATAGCAGTGGAGCTGCGCCCCTCCACGCCCGAGTGCTTTCAAGCCATGGCAGCGCAGGGCCTCACGTGGAGGGCCGTGGAACAGAGCGACCTGGACCCCCGCTGGTGCAGCGACGACATCAAGATCTTCCAGCTCTTCACGTGATTGGCTGTAGCTTTAACCTAATCAGCAGGGTAAAGTGCGTTCTGATTCAACTCCAAAATTGTCTCACATGGAGGGCGGTGGAGCAGGGCGACCTGGACCCCTGCTGGTGCAGCGACGGCATAAGATTCTTCTAGTTCTTCACATGACTGGCGCTTGGCTTTACTCCTCGGCTCTATAGTTGGGGCGCCTCAGAAGCAGAGGGCGTCACATGGAGGGCAGTGGAGCAGGGCGATCTGGAACAGGGCGATCTGGAACAGGGCGATCTGGAGCAGGGCCATCTGGAGCAGGGCCATCTGGAGCAGGGCGACCTGGACCCCTGCTGCTGCAGCAACAACGTAAAGGCCTTCCAGAATGTCATGTGATGTTGCAGTGGCATTAACCGAATGAGCAGGGGAATGTGTACAAGGCGGCATCAATCGTCCCTGACAAGAAGAATAGTACGAAAAAGTGTCGCCGCAACAAGGATGTACTGGCAGGTGACAGCAGCAGAGTGCAGGTGCGTACCAAATAGAAAACCTGGCTCAAATGACAAGCATTGCTTGAGACTCAAGCGACTCATTTCTTGGGGTTGCACTTGCAGTGCGATCCATTCATTGGTCGTACAAATGCCTTCATGAGGAAGAATTGTAAATAGTGTTGTGCAAGGATATCGATCTCTACACTCTGTGACTGCTTATCTTTTGTTCAGGACTTTATGCTGAACGAACTTGGGAGGTGCACATCGTATATGATGATATTGAAGCGAATGTAACATACCAAGCTCGGCCGAATGTGGCGATATTCGTTCGAGATTGGCGAAATCAATATTGCCCGCGCGAAGATGGTTCGGCACGTGATGAACTCTTTCCCATCCGCGAAGATGGGGTGTAGAGCACCCTCATGCATCACCAGCTTTCGTCAGGAAGCGGTACCCGTTGTCAGAAAACTCTCTGAAGCCGGCGTGCCATTGGGATGAAATGGGTCAAGGCAGATTTCCTGCCTCCCAATCGCATGCTGCCATCCGAGATGTTATTTGCCCGCGGGCAGCGCGGGCGAAAATCCGAAAGAAGATGTGGTTGAGCTGTGCCATAAAATAATATCTCTGCAGAATGCCTGCCCACTGGGCATACTGCATAGAATTATCTAAATTGAAAAGCTATTGAACCCGCAGTACAGTATTGTACGGAAGGCGCCGTACTGACCCTCGCGCCGCGCTGCCGCACGCAACGCGTTACATTCGTATTAGAAGAACGCGATCGCCATAACACTCTTTCTCTGATTGCTTACGTCCACCTATCCATTGCGCACGCGCAACAACAATCGAGCCGTTTAGCGATCATTCATTCCAATGGCGATCCGAGCGGTCCTGTCGTTCTTAGTCTTCGTGACGCTCGCGTTCGCGGTCGTCGCAGACGTCGTCGAGTTAAGCCCCGGAAATTTCGCAGACTTCGTCGGAAATGAAATGGCCGCGTTCGTCAAATTCTACGCACCGTGGTAAATAATAGATAAGTGAAGCACCCACACTTACCTACCCTTAGACTAACCAACAAGACCATTCCCGCCTGTAAACAGCGTATCGAACGTGATTCCTACGACATCTGAACGCTCCGTAGCCATGGATCTATCGAGTAAAGGACCATTTCCATTTGTTAAAAATAAGAAAAGAAAAATCCTCTCGCTGTCTCCCATCTCTTCGCAAGTTGTTTCGTCAACTTTCCGCGAATCACGATGCGTGTCTTAGAAGCGAGTAAAGACTGGCGCCACCCGTTTGCTGCTCGCACTGCTTACAAACGGATTGCGAACGTCTAGCGAACGGCTTCTTTACCCCCCTTCTGACTCGCAATGCCCGTCCTCCCCATTCACTCTGCCCCTCCCTCCTTCCCCCCTCCCTTCGCCTTTCCCCCATCCCCCCCTCCCTCCTCTCCGCTCTTCCCCGATTTCCCCCCGCTTTCCCCCCGCTTGCCCCCCCCCTTTCCCCGCGCTTCACCTCCGCCAGGTGCGGGCATTGCAAGAAGCTGGCCCCGGATTATGACAAATTCGGGGCTGCCTTTAAAGAGACCGCATCGGTGGTTGTCGGTAAGGTGAATGTGGAATCAGTTTTTATCTGATTGTGGCTGGGAGATGGGTAGCGGGGCGGGAAAGCCTGGAAAGAGCCAAGAAGGAGGGGAAAAGGTGTATGGAAGGAGCGGGGAAAACGCATGGAAGGTGCCTGGAATGTTCAAAAAGGTATTTTATTCCATTCCCTTGCAAAGCCCTAACTCGTCTCTCCTCCTGCCCCGCTTCTCCCACTCCCCACGCCATTTCTATTCGTCTCTATCCTCCTGCCTTCCTCTGTCCTCTCATCCTGTAGGTGGACTGTGACCAACACAAGAAGCTCTGTAGCGAGTACAAAGTGAAAGGCTACCCAACGCTCAAGTGGTTTCCAAAAGGGACCTCCAAACCTGAAGAGTACGGAGAGGGGCGACGGGAGGGACGAGGGGCTTAGGGTTCAGAGTTGAAGGGAGGGGTTGAAGGAGGGGACTGGCGAAGGGAGGGGAGGGGCGAAGGGAGGGACGAAGAGGAGGGGCGAAGGGACGGGCGAAGAGGAGGGGCGAAGGGAGGGGCGAAGAGGAGGGGCGAAGAGGAGGGGCGAAGGGAGGGGCGAAGGGAGGGGCGAAGAGTGGGGTGGGGATCAGCGAGGGAAGGGGTGGGTGGGGTGAGGGGAGGGGCATGGCTTGATATTCACATGTGTCACGCATGGTCATCACTGTGTCACGCATGGTCATCACTGTGTCACGCATGGTCATCACTGTGTCACGCATGGTCATCACTGTGTCACGCATGGTCATCACTGTGTCACGCATGGTCATCACTGTGTCACGCATGGTCATCACTGTGTCACGCATGGTCATCACTGTGTAACGCATGGTCATCACTGTGTCACGCATGGTCATCACTGTGTCACGCATGGTCATCACTGTGTCACGCATGGTCATCACTGTGTCACGCATGGTCATCACTGTGTCACGCATGGTCATCACTGTGTCACGCATGGTCATCACTGTGTCACGCATGGTCATCACTGTGTCACGCATGGTCATCACTGTGTCACGCATGGTCATCACTGTGTCACGCATGGTCATCACTGTGTCACGCATGGTCATCACTGTGTCACGCATGGTCATCACTGTGTCACGCATGGTCATCACTGTGTCACGCATGGTCATCACTGTGTCACGCATGGTCATCACTGTGTCACACATGGTCATCACTGTGTCACGCATGGTCATCACTGTGTCACGCATGGTCATCACTGTGTCACGCATGGTCATCACTGTGTCACGCGGGACGTTTGAATTCACTCCGCACCTACAACAAGTCATTGTTGCAGCTGTTTTCTATATGTTTTCTTCCTCTTATATTGAATATTCTTTTCTTGACACCACACACTGCTACCGGCTGGCTGGCTGGCTGGCTGGCTGGGTGGGTGGGTGAATGGCAGCTACCCAGGAGAGCGCAGCGTGGACGATCTGGTGGAATTTACGAATGGAAAGCTGGGTGAGTGAGTGAGCTTGATGCTTTTCTTTTAAAGTGCGAAGGCCTATCACATGAACCATAATCACTGGCTGGGTGGCAGCTACCCAGGGGAGCGCAGTGTGGACGATCTGGTGGACTTCACGAACAGAAAGCTGGGTGAGCGAGCTTTGTGCTTTCTCTCTTGGAGTGTTACGGCCTGTCTCATGCCCATCTCATGCCCATCCATCTCATGCCCATCCATCTCATGCTCATATTATGCTCTTCAAAACATCATCTCACCGCCATCGGACGCGGTAACCCTATCGCCCGGCAACTTTGATGCCGCGGTGTTGAAACCCCTGTCATACGCTTCTTTAGTACCCACTAACCGAGGCACCTCAGTACTCTCTCCTCCTCCCTCCCCCACCTCCCTGTGTCCCAGGCACGAGCGTGCAGCCACCAGCGCCAGCGCCAGCATCGCACGTGGCAACCCTATCGCCCAACACCTTTGATGCTATGGTGCTGAAACCCCCACTCCCTCCACCACCTCCCTGTGTGGCATGACATGGCAGACACCAATGCCGAGCCACCAGCGTGCAGCCACCAGCGTGCAGCCACCAGCGTGCAGCCACCAGCGTGCAGCCACCAGCGTGCAGCCACCAGCGTGCAGCCACCAGCGTGCAGCCACCAGCGTGCAGCCACCAGCGTGCAGCCACCAGCGTGCAGCCACCAGCGTGCAGCCACCAGCGTGCAGCCACCAGCGTGCAGCCACCAGCGTGCAGCCACCAGCGTGCAGCCACCAGCGTGCAGCCACCAGCGTGCAGCCACCAGCGTGCAGCCACCAGCGTGCAGCCACCAGCGCCTCCGCCACCATCGCACGTGATAACCCTATCGCCCGACACCTTTGATGCTATGGTGCTGAAACCCCCACTCCCTCCCCCACCTCCCTGTGTCCCAGGCACGAGCGTGCAGCCACCAGCGCCAGCATCGCACGTGGCAACCCTATCGCCCAACAACTTTGTTGCCGTGGTGGTGTTGAAATTGAAACCCATCTGATACGCTTCTTTAGTACCCACAACCCAAGGCAACTCAACGCCCGCTTGCCCCTCCTACCCCTTCCCTCCCTCTGCCACCTCCCTGTGTGGCAGGCACCAGTGTCGACCCACCAGCGCCACCGCCATCGCACGTGGTAACCCTATCGCCCGACACCTTTGACGCCGTGGTTCTAAACCCCACCAAGTTTGTGCTCGTGGAGTTCTACGCGCCCTGGTGAGACACAGAGGGAGGGTTGTGCCGTTTGGTGCTTGACCCCTCCAAGTTCGAGCTTGTGGAGTTCTACACGCCCTGGTGAGACAGAGAGGGAGAGAGAGAGGGTTGTGCCGTTTGGAACTATTGAGGGTTTTTCACCATGGGTGCTTTTCACACTCGGAGGACAGCTGTGATACCGTGGTGGTGCTGGACCCTGCCAAGTTTGTGCTCGTGGAGTTCCATGCGCCCTGGTGAGACAGAGAGGGAGAGAGAGAGGGGGGTGCTTCTCTAGTGCTTTCTGAGAGCTTTTCTCATGCCTTTTCAGTGCTTTTTGGGTGCCTTTTTATTGCCTTTCGAGCATTTTCTAGGCCGATTCGTGTGCTGGTGCTGCTTCTTCTGTGCATGCCCACGTTCGGGTGTATTTTGCGGGCGACTTAAATACACATGCATGCATGATGCATGCATGCATATCCATCATCCGTATGTGCGTGTCCACATATAATATCCTATCCCTTGTGCGGCATGCTGTAGGGTGGTAGGGCTGTGTAATCGGTATGTGTGTTCAGTGCAGCATCAACTTTCCAATCTGGTGTTTCTCGACTTTGTGCTTGTCTCTCCCGCTGCCCCTGCATTTCCCTTCAGGTGCTCCTTCTGTCAAGACCTTGCTCCGGTAATTTCGCTGCTCTCTTGCCCAAAATCCCAGTTGCTCCTTCGAAACTCGTTCAACCCCATTCGTTCCAGCTAAATGGAATAACAAAGAAAAAAAAAAACAACCCTGTGACAGCATACCATGTGACAGGAATGCCCTCTCTTCCTCTTCTCCCCTTCTCCCTCAGCTTTCTCATTGCTCCAACTCCTTCGTTTCCCTCTCTCTCCCATCTTTCATCGCTCGCTGTCCTTTCACTTCCTCCACTGTTCCCTCCCTCTTCCCTCACCCGACTCTATTCTTCCCTCTCCCGACTCTATTCTTCCCTCCTTGTTCTCCCTCCCCACCGTTTCTCTTCCACCAGGCGTACGAGCAGCTGGGGCGGGCATTCAGAGATGAAGAGAACGTGGTGATTGCGAAGCTGGATGCGAGCAAGCACAGGGAGCTCAAGGAGAAGTGAGTGTCAGTGCGATGATCTGATTGTATGCCATTAATGGGAGGTGCCACCGTGCTAATAGTGAGGGGTGACTGTTGAAGGATGGGTGTTTAAGGAAGAGAAAGTGGTGATCGCCAAGCTGGATGCGAGCAAGCACAGAGAGCTCAAGGAGAAGTGCGTGTCATCAACGTGGTGATGGCGCGTGTGGTGTGGTGTGGTGTGGTGTGGTGTGGTGTGGTGTGGTGTGGTGTGCTTATAGTGTGAGGTGCTACTAGTGTCGCGAGCAAGCACAGGGAGCTCAAGGAGAAGTGAGTGGCCACGGGGTGATATGGTGGTGTGCTTACAGTGCGAGGTGCTACTAGTGAGAGGGCGGGTGGTGGTGATTGCCAAGCTAGACGCGAGCAAGCACAGAGAGCTCAAGGAGAAGTGAGTGTCATCAACGTGCTGACGGCGCGTGTGGTGTGCTTGTAGTGAGAGGTGCTAGTAACGATGGGTGCTCAGGGACAAAGAGAGGGTCGTGATTGCAAAGCTGGACGCGAGCAAGCACAGGGAGCTTCAAGAGAAGTGAGTGGCTATGTGGTGATCTCATGGTGTGCTTATAGTGAAAAGTGACGGTTGAAGGATGGGTGTTAAAGGAAGAGAGCATTATGATTGTCTTGCTGGGACGCGAGCAAGCACAGAAGCTTAAAGACAAGTGAGTGGCCACGTGGTGGTGGTGCGATGGTGTGGTTTGTGCTTGTACTGAGGTGATGATGATGTTGCGTGGGTGCTTGTAACGAGAGGTGAATCTGGTTATCCCACAGTCGAGTGGATCTGAAGTAGTGAGGCACCTCAAAGTGTCTGCATGCTGTTGCATATCCTCTCCTCTCTCCGTTCTATCCTCTCCTCTCTCCGTTCTATCCTCTCCTCTCTCCGTTCTATCCTCTCCTCTCTCCGTTCTATCCTCTCCTCTCTCCGTTCTATCCTCTCCTCTCTCCGTTCTATCCTCTCCTCTCTCCGTTCTATCCTCTCCTCTCTCCGTTCTATCCTCTCCTCTCTCCGTTCTATCCTCTCCTCTCTCCGTTCTATCCTCTCCTCTCTCCGTTCTATCCTCTCCTCTCTCCGTTCTATCCTCTCCTCTCTCCGTTCTATCCTCTCCTCTCTCCGTTCTATCCTCTCCTCTCTCCGTTCTATCCTCTCCTCTCTCCGTTCTATCCTCTCCTCTCTCCGTTCTATCCTCTCCTCTCTCCGTTCTATCCTCTCCTCTCTCCGTTCTATCCTCTCCTCTCTCCGTTCTATCCTCTCCTCTCTCCGTTCTATCCTCTCCTCTCTCCGTTCTATCCTCTCCTCTCTCCGTTCTATCCTCTCCTCTCTCCGTTCTATCCTCTCCTCTCTCCGTTCTATCCTCTCCTCTCTCCGTTCTATCCTCTCCTCTCTCCGTTCTATCCTCTCCTCTCTCCGTTCTATCCTCTCCTCTCTCCGTTCTATCCTCTCCTCTCTCCGTTCTATCCTCTCCTCTCTCCGTTCTATCCTCTCCTCTCTCCGTTCTATCCTCTCCTCTCTCCGTTCTATCCTCTCCTCTCTCCGTTCTATCCTCTCCTCTCTCCGTTCTATCCTCTCCTCTCTCCGTTCTATCCTCTCCTCTCTCCGTTCTATCCTCTCCTCTCTCCGTTCTATCCTCTCCTCTCTCCGTTCTATCCTCTCCTCTCTCCGTTCTATCCTCTCCTCTCTCCGTTCTATCCTCTCCTCTCTCCGTTCTATCCTCTCCTCTCTCCGTTCTATCCTCTCCTCTCTCCGTTCTATCCTCTCCTCTCTCCGTTCTATCCTCTCCTCTCTCCGTTCTATCCTCTCCTCTCTCCGTTCTATCCTCTCCTCTCTCCGTTCTATCCTCTCCTCTCTCCGTTCTATCCTCTCCTCTCTCCGTTCTATCCTCTCCTCTCTCCGTTCTATCCTCTCCTCTCTCCGTTCTATCCTCTCCTCTCTCCGTTCTATCCTCTCCTCTCTCCGTTCTATCCTCTCCTCTCTCCGTTCTATCCTCTCCTCTCTCCGTTCTATCCTCTCCTCTCTCCGTTCTATCCTCTCCTCTCTCCGTTCTATCCTCTCCTCTCTCCGTTCTATCCTCTCCTCTCTCCGTTCTATCCTCTCCTCTCTCCGTTCTATCCTCTCCTCTCTCCGTTCTATCCTCTCCTCTCTCCGTTCTATCCTCTCCTCTCTCCGTTCTATCCTCTCCTCTCTCCGTTCTATCCTCTCCTCTCTCCGTTCTATCCTCTCCTCTCTCCGTTCTATCCTCTCCTCTCTCCGTTCTATCCTCTCCTCTCTCCGTTCTATCCTCTCCTCTCTCCGTTCTATCCTCTCCTCTCTCCGTTCTATCCTCTCCTCTCTCCGTTCTATCCTCTCCTCTCTCCGTTCTATCCTCTCCTCTCTCCGTTCTATCCTCTCCTCTCTCCGTTCTATCCTCTCCTCTCTCCGTTCTATCCTCTCCTCTCTCCGTTCTATCCTCTCCTCTCTCCGTTCTATCCTCTCCTCTCTCCGTTCTATCCTCTCCTCTCTCCGTTCTATCCTCTCCTCTCTCCGTTCTATCCTCTCCTCTCTCCGTTCTATCCTCTCCTCTCTCCGTTCTATCCTCTCCTCTCTCCGTTCTATCCTCTCCTCTCTCCGTTCTATCCTCTCCTCTCTCCGTTCTATCCTCTCCTCTCTCCGTTCTATCCTCTCCTCTCTCCGTTCTATCCTCTCCTCTCTCCGTTCTATCCTCTCCTCTCTCCGTTCTATCCTCTCCTCTCTCCGTTCTATCCTCTACTCTCTCCGTTCTATCCTCTACTCTCTCCGTTCTATCCTCTCCTCTCTCCGTTCTATCCTCTCCTCTCTCCGTTCTATCCTCTCCTCTCTCCGTTCTATCCTCTCCTCTCTCCGTTCTATCCTCTCCTCTCTCCGTTCTATCCTCTCCTCTCTCCGTTCTATCCTCTCCTCTCTCCGTTCTATCCTCTCCTCTCTCCGTTCTATCCTCTCCTCTCTCCGTTCTATCCTCTCCTCTCTCCGTTCTATCCTCTCCTCTCTCCGTTCTATCCTCTCCTCTCTCCGTTCTATCCTCTCCTCTCTCCGTTCTATCCTCTCCTCTCTCCGTTCTATCCTCTCCTCTCTCCGTTCTATCCTCTCCTCTCTCCGTTCTATCCTCTCCTCTCTCCGTTCTATCCTCTCCTCTCTCCGTTCTATCCTCTCCTCTCTCCGTTCTATCCTCTCCTCTCTCCGTTCTATCCTCTCCTCTCTCCGTTCTATCCTCTCCTCTCTCCGTTCTATCCTCTCCTCTCTCCGTTCTATCCTCTCCTCTCTCCGTTCTATCCTCTCCTCTCTCCGTTCTATCCTCTCCTCTCTCCGTTCTATCCTCTCCTCTCTCCGTTCTATCCTCTCCTCTCTCCGTTCTATCCTCTCCTCTCTCCGTTCTATCCTCTCCTCTCTCCGTTCTATCCTCTCCTCTCTCCGTTCTATCCTCTCCTCTCTCCGTTCTATCCTCTCCTCTCTCCGTTCTATCCTCTCCTCTCTCCGTTCTATCCTCTCCTCTCTCCGTTCTATCCTCTCCTCTCTCCGTTCTATCCTCTCCTCTCTCCGTTCTATCCTCTCCTCTCTCCGTTCTATCCTCTCCTCTCTCCGTTCTATCCTCTCCTCTCTCCGTTCTATCCTCTCCTCTCTCCGTTCTATCCTCTCCTCTCTCCGTTCTATCCTCTCCTCTCTCCGTTCTATCCTCTCCTCTCTCCGTTCTATCCTCTCCTCTCTCCGTTCTATCCTCTCCTCTCTCCGTTCTATCCTCTCCTCTTTCCACGCACCACTGCAGGTACAGCATAACGGGTTACCCTACTATTATTTGGTTCCCCCCCTCCAACAAGCACGGAGAGAGCTACGAGGGCTCGTGGGAGTTGAGGGACATGCTGGCGTTTGTAAATAAGGAGGCTGGCACGCACAGGACCAACACGGGGATGCTCTCTGATATGGTGAGCTGCTTGTGGTGAGCTGGTGGTGGGACATGTGCACCAGATGAATGCACTAGGAACGGGAGAGAGCTACGAGGGCTCGTGGGAGTTGAGGGACATGCTGGCATTTGTGAATATGGAGGCGGGAACTCACAGAACAAGCACGGGCATGCTCTCTGACATGGTGAGCTGGAGGTGAGCTGGTGGTGAGCTGGAGGTGAGCTGGAGGTGAGCTGGAGGTGAGCTGGTGGTGAGCTGGAGGTGAGCTGGAGGTGAGCTGGTGGTGAGCTGGTGGTGAGCTGGAGGTGAGCTGGAGGTGAGCTGGTGGTGAGCTGGAGGTGAGCTGGTGGTGAGCTGGAGGTGAGCTGGATGTGAACGCATGAGAGCAGCACCAGGGAAGGGAGGGAGCTACGAAGGCGCGTGGGAGGAACTTGCTGGCGTTTGTCAACAGGGAGGCCGGCACACAGAGAACAAACACGGGAATGCCCTGAGAGTCCCTAAAACCATGAGAGTCCCTAAAGCCCTGAGAGTTTTTAAAGCTCGAGGCCCAAGTTGTTCAGCTTTCCTAAAGTTGAGCGTTGGGTGGTGGGGGAGCTGAGCAGGAAAGTCGATGTGTTGGGAGGGTGGGGGGCTTTGGTTTCGCCGAGCTTCTCGCCACACTCAGATTTTTTTCGCTGACTCAGCAGACCCTAGGGGCTATTTTGCGTTTGGTTGAAAGAGTCCCATATTGCACAGATATTAGTATTGCAAGTTTCCCGCCCCACCCGTTCCACAAACCCAGTTGAAGTTCACTGGCCAATCATCTGCCTTCGTATAATTCGTAACCCTAATTCGCAAAACAAACACCTGCAAAACAACAATCGATCAAGATTACCAAAGTTGACCTGCGCGATCCGCAATGTGGGCCTCGAGCTTTTAAGGCCCTGAGGGTTCTTAAAGCCCTGAGAGCTCTTAAAGCCCTGAGAGCTCTTAAAGCCCTGAGAGCTCTTAAAGCCCTGAGAGCTCTTAAAGCCCTGAGAGCTCTTAAAGCCCTGAGAGACCTCTCACTGCCACTCCTTTCCCCCTTCCCACTGCTCCTGTCCAGGCGGGGCACGTAGCAGCATTGGACTAGCTGGCTCGTGGGTTCAGCAAAGCACTGGAAGGCCTCATTCCACCACTCACCCCCCTCCCACCCCTCCCCTTCACCCCCCTGTGTGCAGGCAGAGCGCATAGCAGCATTGCACGGGCTGGCTCGCAGGCTCATTGTGTCCACAGTGTGTGTGTGTGTGTTGAAACCCCTTCACGCTCTCACTGCCTTCAAAGCTCTCTCTCTCTCTCGAATGGTCCGTTGTATTAATAAGCACTATGCATACAAGCATGCAAGATTGATGGTGAGGCAATCATCCTACTCGCCACCCGCCTGGTCCACAAGGGGTCCAAGCGGGGGTTCTAGGAGTTGAAACAGGTAACCTTCAGCTAGGGGTTCGATGGCATCCGCAATCCCAGCCTCGTCCGCCTCCATGGCTGTGTGAGTTTTCAGATTGAGGGCGTGCGCCTGCCCGCGCTGCAGAGTGATACTCCAGCGCTGCCTGTACTCGTGGAACAGCTTGGCTGCTTCCGCTGAGGTAGGTGGGGCGTTGAAACGCAGCTTGGCGGCCAGGTCAGCGCACATCTTCAGAAACTCGAACACTCCCGGTGAGGTACAGCCGTAGGTCTCGACCGCCATGGGGATGAACCCCACCCAGTCATTCCTTATTGCATACTTGTCCGTCTTCTTGTCTGCGGCCACACGGGCAGCCCACCCCGTCCCTTTTCGTGCGTACTTGTCGCATTTTGAGATGGGGTCGGTGACAGTGACGTCACAGATGTGTATACGGCCGGTGATGGGATCGCGGATCGAGAAGTCCGCGAATAGGTTTTCGACCGTCGTATACTGCGCTGTTTCCTTGTGGACTGTGTAACCAGCTTCTTTGGCTATGCGGGCGCATTCATCCCGCAGGGCATGGTGCGTGCTCGTCCGTCCCTTCCCTGTCCCGCAGCGCAGCAGGTGGTTTGGCAAGCGGCTGTCCAGGATCTTGACAGCCTTGGTGCAGTCGCATTGGCGCGGGATTGGGTGGGGGAGGCCCAAGCGGAAGAGGATGGATTGGGAGTAGTGGGCGGGGCAGAGTCGAAGGGCGCTCGTCAGGGGCAGTGCCGCCAGCCAATCGCCGGCTCCTGGTCCGAGGAGGGATAGGAGGCGTTGCGTGTGGCCCATGAGCGGGTTCGGGGACATGCGCCGGCTGCTGCGGACGCCGGCGACAGCCTTAGCCGAGTGGACGTGCAGCGCCAGTGCGTGTTGCAGCTTCAGCCCGTCCCCTTTCTCTCGCCCGACCTTCATCACAGCCGCTGCTGAGGGGGGAAGGCTGGCTTCCGCGGCGGCCAGGCGTTGCGGCAGTGCAGCTGGATTTGTAGGGTCCGCGTCGAGCAGTGGCGCAAGTTCAGCCACCTCCTGGTGTAGCTTGGAGCCAAGGGAGCGCAGGAGGTGGGCCGTTGCGACGGCCGACGCCAGGTAGGCATAGGAGCCTTCCGTGCTTGGGTCAGTGAGTCCCAGGCCTCCTATGGTGGTGGGGAGGCTGGCCTGGTTCCAGATTCGTTCCTTCTCCGCCTGCGCGCGCGGCTCTGAGATTTGCGCCGCAGCAAGCAGAGTGTGTAGCAGCCGTTCACCCCACGCGGACCATTCAGCTGTGGGCAGGAGGGCCAGAGGTGTGGTGCGGGCGAGGAAGGAGGCTCTCCGGCTGATGCAGCGGGTGAGCAGAAGGTAGGAGAGTTGGGGATCCATGCGGCCCACTAGTGGCAGCGGAGAGCCTGCTGTAGCGAGCTTTTCCCGCAGCTGCGTGGCACAGCCGTCGGCTGTTCCGACTGGGCTGCCGAGGACCCGCAGGCCGGCGCGGTTGAAGCGGATCCCAGTGGGGAGGTCGGCGTCGTTCATGGGGCCAGGTGACCAGGCTGCGCACTTTGCAGGGTTGTGGGCTAGGCCGATGGGGAGGAGGTCGGCCGTGAGGTGGTTGAAGGCGGAGATGCAGGCGGACGCGGGGCCGAGGAATGTGATATCGTCCGCGTAGGCGATGATGACGATGTTCGGAAACGCAGCGGCGGTGGCGGTAAGTGATCGTTGGATACCAGCCGCAAAGAGTAGCGGCCCCATTGGGTCGCCCTGGCGGACTCCACGCGCGCTTGTTGGAGAAGCTGCGTTGAAGCCCGCGTCCACTTGTAGGGTGGAGGCGGAGCCGTATGTGAGTCTAACGAAGGGGAGCAGGGGGGCGAGTGGGGTGGATTGCAGGCCTTCGAAGACGGCTGCTCTTTCTATGGCGTTGAAGGCATTGGCTATGTCCATCTGGAGTGCGATCGCGGTAGGTTTTTCCTCCAGGTATGTGCGGATGATATGGATGGCAGCTTCCGTCCCCCCTGGTACTGCTACGCCGAGCTGGAGAGGTGTGAAGAAGTCTCGAGCGGCCGCGCCGGTCAGGTAAAGTGCACATTTCGCGATAAGGCGGTGAAGGCACTCGCCAACTGCTATGGGGCGGATCCCTCCTCCAGGTTTGACGAACGCAACCAGACGTGAGACTGTGAGTAGCGATGCTGCCTCGGGACTCAGCTGGCCTGCGAGAGCCGTGTTGGTGAGTGCGTGGAGGTGTTGGCATACATCTGAGTTCCCAAGAGCAGCATCACGGAGGTGTTCGAAGGTTGTGCCTGAGGGCCCAGCTCCAACTCCGTTGGGGCATTTGGCGATGATTTTGCGGAAGTCGCGAAGGGGTATGAGTGGTGGGGTGTCAGTGGCGTGGCTGGTAACCCAGTCAGGGATGAGTAGTTCGGCAGGAGGGTGGCGCGCTTGGAGGGCAGCCAGAGTGTCAGGTGTGGTGGGGGCCACAGGAGTGGCCTGGAGGGCCTGGAGGGATTTTCTCAGGTTCCCACGTTTGGCCAGGCCTTCAGCTCTGGCCAGGCAACCAATCTCGTCGGTGATGTGTCTGGGTTGGGCTGGGAGCTGAATAGCCTTGGCCGCTTCCTCGTACAATTCCTGCCAGTTCCCGCGGTCAAATGATAGGATACGGCTGCTGCAGGCTGGCCAATCTGGACGTTTGGTGCTGGGGACACGGAGGATTAGGCGCGGGAGGAACAGCAGCAGTCGCCAGGCAGGTTCGTAGTCAGGGTTGGAGGCTAGGGCAAGGAGGGGGGTCAGGAGGCATGTCGCAAATGCTTCGCGAATTGCTTTGGGTGGGTGCCTTGCCAGGCTTGGTTGACGGCTATCACTCAGGTGGGACAGGTCCCAGGTGGAAACCTGGTCGAAAAGGTCCCTGCGCTTCGCCAGGTCTGTTGGCGAAAAAGTCGGTTGGCTTGGTGGCGGGGAAATTCCAGATCCGGCTCGGATGTTGGGAGCTTGGTGTCTCACAGATCTGGGCTCCAGCTCTTCCAAGCTCTCGTCTTCAGACGAGGGCTCCAAGTTCCCCTCCCCATCGAGTGTAAAAAGGGGGTCACCCTGATCATTTCCGTCATTCACAATTTCCGTGTTGCCTCCCTCCTCGGCCTCCCTTAGCAGCCGCCGCGTTACACGCCTGAAGTCTGTGGTACCTCCTCCTCCTCGCGAAGTAGCGCTTGCGTCGTCCTCTCCTCGACCACGGCGGCCTCGTCCGCGGCCTCCGCGCCCGTGCGTCGTCGCGCGTCGCCCTCTGACCGGCACCGACGCCGGGCGTCGCTCTGGAGCGTTCGCGTCGGGGTGCAACGTGGAGCGCGCGGGCGGAGTCCACCATTGACGACCCGCTCCCGTGCGTGGCAATGGCGGGCTCGCGAACCCGTGGGCGGGAGCGTTCGCCGTCGCGTCCTCATGAGCGTTCGCCGTCGCGTCCTCTCTCTCTCTCTCTCTCTCTCTCTCTCTCTCTCTCTCTCTCTCTCTCTCTCTCTCTCTCTCTCTCTCTCTCTCTACCGCTTGTGCTTACACCCCTCGCGCTACTCCTGTGCAGGCCGGGCGCATAGCAGCATTGGACGAGCTGGCCCGCGGGTTAATTGGAGCAAGCAAGGAGGGGAGAGAGGAGCGATTGGGCAAGGCGGAGAGGGTGACAGTGAGCGAGGAGGCGAGCAAGTGAGTGGGGAGGGAGGGAGTGTGGTGTGGGGTAGAACCGATAGGTGCAGAGTGGGGAGTGGGTTCATTGGGGCGAGCAAGGAGAGGGAGAGAGGAGCGATTGGGCAAGGCGGAGAGGGTGACAGTGAGCGAGGAGGCGAGCAAGTGAGTGGGGAGGGAGGGAGTGCGGTGTGGGGTAGAACCGATAGGTGCAGAGTGGGGAGTGGCTTCATTGGGGCGAGCAAGGAGAGGGAGAGAGGAGCGATTGGGCAAGGCTGAGAGGGTGACAGTGAGCGAGGAGGCGAGCCAGTGAGTGGGGAGGGAGGGAGTGGAGGAAAGCAAGTGAGTAAGGGGAGATTTAGTTTGATATGAGGTAGGTAGGTGCATCGGAGAGAGGGGCTATAGGGGCAGAGGAGGAAGACAGGGAGGGAGGAGAGATTGGCAAGGCGGAGAGAGTGGCAGTGAGCAAATGAGTGGGTAGGGAGGGAGCGCGGTGTGGATAGGTGCAGAGTGGTGAGAGGGTGCGTTGGGGCGGGTGAGGAGGAGAGAAAAGAGGGGGTGGCAGTGAGCTAGGAGGAGAGAAAGTGAGTGTTCAGTGTTCAGAAATTAAATTGGCAAAACAGTGAACTATATAAGCAAGGTGTAAAGGCTTCAAAATACGAGAGCAAGTGAGAGAGGAGGAAAGAATCTGAGTGGGGAGGGAGAGGTGTGGTATGAGATAGGTAGGTGCATTGTGCATTGGAGAGGGGGGGCTACTGGGACAGGGATGGAGGGAGAGGAGAGGGAGGAGAAATTGGCTTTAGGGGAGAAGGTTTCAAGTGAAAGAGGAAGAGAGCAAGTGAGAGAGGTAGAGAGCAAGTGAGAGAGGCAGAGAGCGAGTGAGAAAGAAAGAGAGCAAGTGAGAAAGGAAGAGAGCAAGTGAGAAAGGAAGAGAGCAAGTGAGTGGGGCGAGAGGGATTGCAACATAGGGTAGGTGCGGCAAGGAGACTTATTGGGAGGGGCAAGGAGGGGAGGGAGGTGATTGTGGTATCTGGCTTTAGATCCATTCAGAGTCGACTGAAAGGAGGAGAGGAAGGTGTGGGTGGGGAAAGTGGCATGCGTGGGTGATGCGGCAAGTGCACATGGCTTGTTGCCTCATGCGGCATGTGTGCTCTGTCTGTACCATTTCCCTGCTCTCCTCTTGGTGTGGCAGGCAAGCGGGCATGTACACGATGAGGAGATTCATGTGGAGGCCTTTGAAGCGCCTGCCTTAATTTGTATTTCCCAACTCCATTGGTGTGGCAGGCAAGCAACCATGTACATTACTGCGATGAGAAAAATCATGGAGAAGGGCGAGCAGCATGTGGAGGACGAGCTGAACCGCGTGGGCAGAATGCTGCTGGGGGTGAGTCAATCAAGCCAACCAACGTGTGGCCTCAAGTATCTGTTTTAAGTGAACTCAACTCACATGTCATGGAGAAGGGAGAGCAGCGTGTGGAGGACGAGCTGAACCGTGTAGGCAGATTGCTGCTCGGGGTGAGTTGAACCGGCCAGCTCTTTGAGTCGAATGAACCATTATTGAGGTGGGAAAGTTAGCGCGTGGAGAAGGGAGAGCAGCATCTGGAGGACGAGCTGAACCGTGTAGGCAGATTGCTGCTCGGGGTGAGTTGAACCGGCCAGCTCTTTGAGTCGAATGAACCATTATTGAGGTGGGAAAGTTAGCGCGTGGAGAAGGGAGAGCAGCATCTGGAGGACGAGCTGAACCGTGTAGGCAGATTGCTGCTCGGGGTGAGTTGAACCGGCCAGCTCTTTGAGTCGAATGAACCATTATTGAGGTGGGAAAGTTAGCGCGTGGAGAAGGGAGAGCAGCATCTGGAGGACGAGCTGAACCGTGTCGGCAGATTGCTGCTCGGGGTGAGTTGAACCGGCCAGCTCTTTGAGTCGAATGAACCATTATTGAGGTGGGAAAGTTAGCGCGTGGAGAAGGGAGAGCAGCATCTGGAGGACGAGCTGAACCGTGTAGGCAGATTGCTGCTCGGGGTGAGTTGAACCGGCCAGCTCTTTGAGTCGAATGAACCATTATTGAGGTGGGAAAGTTAGCGCGTGGAGAAGGGAGAGCAGCATCTGGAGGACGAGCTGAACCGTGTAGGCAGATTGCTGCTCGGGGTGAGTTGAACCGGCCAGCTCTTTGAGTCGAATGAACCATTATTGAGGTGGGAAAGTTAGCGCGTGGAGAAGGGAGAGCAGCATCTGGAGGACGAGCTGAACCGTGTAGGCAGATTGCTGCTCGGGGTGAGTTGAACCGGCCAGCTCTTTGAGTCGAATGAACCATTATTGAGGTGGGAAAGTTAGCGCGTGGAGAAGGGAGAGCAGCATCTGGAGGACGAGCTGAACCGTGTAGGCAGATTGCTGCTCGGGGTGAGTTGAACCGGCCAGCTCTTTGAGTCGAATGAACCATTATTGAGGTGGGAAAGTTAGCGCGTGGAGAAGGGAGAGCAGCATCTGGAGGACGAGCTGAACCGTGTAGGCAGATTGCTGCTCGGGGTGAGTTGAACCGGCCAGCTCTTTGAGTCGAATGAACCATTATTGAGGTGGGAAAGTTAGCGCGTGGAGAAGGGAGAGCAGCATCTGGAGGACGAGCTGAACCGTGTAGGCAGATTGCTGCTCGGGGTGAGTCAATCAAGCCAACCAGCTTGACCGCCTGGGTGGGGAGAATCATGCTTGGGGGGAGTCAAGCCAGCCAGTTTTTTCAGTTGACTCGAATAGTGTGGAAAAGGGAGGGCAGAACGTTGAGGACGAACGCGTAGGTTCAATATGTCTATAGAGTTCGCCTCCCGGCTAAAAGAATAGGAAGTGCATGTGTAAAGTGCCAAAAGCCCCCCAATGGTTGAGGAGGCTGAGGAGGTTGAGGAGGTTGAGGAGGTTGAGGAGGTTGAGGAGGGTGAGGAGGTTGAGGAGGGTGAGGAGGGTGAGGAGGGTGAGGAGGTTGAGGAGGTTGAGGAGGTTGAGGCGGTTGAGGAGCTGGTCTTCTGTTTGAGTCGACCAGTAAGGTGCTCTTGAGGTGCTTCAAGTGCAAAGGTGCCCCACGGGATGACAGAGGCCCATCCGCGTCACGATCCGAGAAAGGCCCACAGGCACATTATTAACCGTTCCCTGCTGTTTCCTCTTCCTGCTTGTGTGACCATTGTGTTGCATGCTGTGCTCGCACATATGCAGGCACTGCCAAGGGACAAGGCGCTGAGCTTCATCATCAAAATGAACATCCTCGCGGCCTTCTTGGAGCTCGATGGACCAGACATCGACGAGGGCAGGGGAGAGTTTGACATGAAGACTGAGCTGCCTAAGAAGTTCTCATATGGGAAAGTGTAGGCAGGTGTGGGGCAGGTCTACAGCCAACTGTTGTCTCTGTCACCCTCAACATTCTGATAGGACACCTACCTCAGTGCTATTTACAAGTATCAAAATGGTGTGCTAGCAAAGTTTGGCTAAGGAACAACCGTATCAGACGTGAACAACATCAGATATGTAAATGTTCAATAATCTCTTTTTCTTTCCCAGTCCGTACAATGCAGCCTGGTTGCTGCATGATTTACGAGCACCTAAATTTAAGAACATGCTGACCTAAAACCCATTACTAGCACACCTTGTAGTTCATGTAGTCCTTAGAAACTAGCACAAATCGGCAAGTGGGGATCACTTCACAACCTACCTACAACGGTGTTCACTTCAGAATATAATACCAGCTAGAACAATACAGTGACGCAACTATGGTACTAAAACAACAGGTACATGCAGGAGATACATAATCTTATCTCACCATCACCAACACAAGTTGGAGGTAACAGGATCACCATGCAAATGAGAGAGGATAAGTGCAGAGGAGAGAAGAGAAGAAAGTGAGGAGGAAAAGGGAGGGGGGGGAGAGCTGGCCGAGAGGGGAGAGTGGGGGGGAGGGTAGGGGGGAAGAGGCGAGCTTGGGAGGCAAAAAGGGGGAAACGGCGCAAGGGTGCCAAAGGGGGGAGAGGGGGAAGGGGGGCGTGTGTGGGAAGTTGAGAGAAAACGAAGAGAGGGGAAGGTGGAAAGGAGTGGGAGTGGAGAAAGGGAAGGCACGGGGGCAGGGGGGTTGGAGCTGTTCTGGCAAACAGCACTGCCTCAGCCTTGAACCAACCAACTCTTCTTCCCTCGCTCCATCCCTTCTGTCGGCCCGTCCGTCCGTGAATGTTGGTCGGTACCGTACCGAACAGTACCGTTCCGTACCGTTGCTCAATCCGTACGAGACTTGCAAGAGGAGCTTGGCCTTGTATGCATCCATCCATCAGTCGTCTTAGTCCTTCCATCCATCCATCCAGCCAGCCAGCCATCCGTTAAAATGCCGTGAGCGACACCGTCGTTACACCGTGGTTACACCGTTGGTACACCGTTGGTACACCGTGGTTACACCGTTGGTACACCGTTGGTACACCGTTGTTTCACCGTCAGTGGGGCCGTGTGTGGCATCTGTAACAGTGAGCGCAACAACGAAACAGGTCGCCCTGCAGTGCGGTCAGTAAAAAACCAGTGAAAAGGACAGCACTGAGCCAACTCGCTCTCTCCTCTGTCCCTGGCTTATCCCACTCCTTATCCCCTCCATTCCCTCCCCCCCCCCAACTCTCTCTCTTTCCCTCTCTCTCTCCATCTCACTGCCCCCAAACAATCTTCCTCTCCAGCTGTTGAGGCTCAATTAAAGCCACATACATAGTATGACGGTACGAGATGACTTTTGAGTCGAGTCGAAAGCCATCCAGGTACATCAAGGCTTGCCTCCAGGCTCAAGGGACATAGCATCATAGCATGACGATACGAGCTTTGCAAGGAAACATACAGAGGCAGGCAGGCAGGCAGAAACTGGCAGAGGCAGGCTGCTGAACAAGCGGAAGAGATCAAAGCGTGAAGCTAAGGAGATAACAGAAAGCGCAACGAACGACCACTAGACATGCTGGTCGAGCTAAGGAGCTCGACCACTGGGACAAGCGACAGCGGCCGGCCCGATAAACAGGCAGCGCGTGAAGCCCACTAGACATGCTGCTGCAAGCCATGCATTGCAGCAACTTCATCCATGGCGATCCATTGCAAGCAGACGGCATGCCATGCCATGCCTGTACTTTTGATGCGCCTCAATAATCCATTGCAATCCATTGCAAGCAGACGGCATGCCATGCCATGCCATGCCTGTACACGAAGACAACCCTACCCCACGCATGTACATACGCACATATTTACGCTGGCAAAAGGCATGAAACGCCATATCAAACACCAACACACTAACGACCCCTATATCACATGCGTCAGCAGCACTGACACTCACCCCATCAATACGGCCAATACCGCGAATGGAGGTGATTTTAGAGTAGACTCCGGAACACACCACCCACAACAGCACCACACTAAGGAAACCACCACCACATCACATGCGTCAGCATGGACACTCACCACATCACATGCGGCTGATACCGCGACTGGAGGTGAATTTTGAGAAAACTCGGGAACACGCCATCTACAACAGCACCACACTCAGAACCACCACCACATCACATGCGTCGGCACTCACACTCACCCCATCAATACGGCCGATACCGCGAGCGCCCCCCGCCGTCCCCATTCCGCCCCTCTCCTCCCCCCCTCTCATAATCCCTCTCTCTCCCCTCCTCCTTTATCCCATACCCACCCCCATACCCACCGCCATACCCGCCTCCATACCCGCCCCCATATCCCCCTCCTCCCCCACCACCACCACCACCACCACCACCACCATATCCACCCCCATATCCCCCCCCATACCCCCCACCACCTCCTCCTCCCCCTCCCCCTCCGCCTCCCCCTCCGCCTCTCCGCCCATCCCCTCCCCGCCCCCCAGCAAGCAGGGGCGGGCGGGGCTGCGCCATGCGGATCTCGTGGAGGGGAGTGCCCTTGATCATGCGCTGGCTGCGCGCGCACGCGCTGTCCGCCGCTGCAAACGAGTTGAAGCGCACGTAGCAGAAACCGCGACGAGTGCCGGAGGCTCTGTCCTTGGGGAAATACACGTCCTCTACCGTGCCGTACCTGTTTATAAGGAGCAACCGGGGGCGGGAGAGAGAGGGTGGGGGGAAGGAGGGGAAGATGGGAGGAGGGGAGGGAAGGGGAATCAGGGCGAACGAGTTTAAGCGCACGCAGGAGAAGCCCTTGCGCGCGCCTAATGTCCTATCCTTGAAGAAACACACGTTCTCTACCGCGACTTTGGGGGGGAGGGGGTGAACAGGGGGGACGGGGTAGAGAGGGAGAGGGGGGAAAGAGTGCAGCAAAGGAGTTTAAAGAGCACGTAGCAGAACAATCAAGCCCCCTTCAAAGGCGCTCACAAACAGACGTGGACAAACTATCAACGACTCAACGGCTCTCTTACTGCTCGAAATGCTCCTTCACGTCCTGCTCGCTGATCTC